ACGTCTACTGAAGCAGAAGTTAGTCCGAGTTTTGTCTCAGAGAGGGTGATTGGCATACTTAGTTTGTAAAGCCATAACGAAATAACTGCGAACATAAGCTGATCAAAATCTGCAATAATTTTTAATAAATTGACACATTATTCAAGGGCGTATTTTCTGCTTTAAAAATGATAGATGTAGATTTTACACCTCATAGAAGTGCCTCCAGAGATATATGGCTATTCCAACATAGTCTTTGTTTTTTACAGCTTTAATTGTCTCAATATGAATTAAAAAGCAAAGCTTACCCCATAAAGTAAACCAAGAAATTTTTAAAGATCTTCAGAAAGGATATTGTTAGTATGGACATGAAGTACTTTGGGTTATGAGATAAGGCCTAATTCTCTCTTGCCCAAGACAAATGCTACCATGTTCTTTGGGTATTGGCTCCAAAATGGCAGCAATTTCTAGGACTACTTGGTGGGGAGGATGACAGAATTCAGCAATAAATTTAAAATAAAATTCAGAGCATAAGCATTGTGACTTCATAGGGATAGACTCAAAATTCTTGAGTAATTATAGTTGATGTTCTAAATGGCATTGCAAAGCTTTAAAACAAGTGCACTCCCTTTGAATAAGGGCTGTGACATATTTGGGTGTATAATATGATCCTGAAGAAGCAATTGTATCATCTAGCTACTGAAACACCTAAACACAAAACCTGTTGAATCCTGAATGTGTCTGCCATTATCAAAATAGAAAGAGTGAGAAGCTTGAACTGGGAATGGATCACAGCAGCTCATATTAAAATGAGCTAGCATAGCACTGTGGTAGACACATCTTTAATTTGTATATCGTTTTCATATAGTTAAAATGTTGCATTAAATATTAGTGTTCCTTAATTTGTGATAGACATTCTTAAGAAATGGTATCTGCACCAAACTTGAGTCTATTATGGTTTTGGTGATTGAATTTAAACACCAAATTAAATATTTGAAATTACATAATCAAACACAAACGTGACCAAAAAGGTCACGTATACAAAAATGTCACATATACAAAAATGTCATTTTTTCATTTTAGTTGGGTGGAGCTACATGTTATTCTACAAGGAAAAAAAAAAGAGAAATATTACAAAATTCTATCTTTTTGTCATCCTTAGGTCAGAATTTTCATTTTACAGAACTCGATGAGTTGATTCAATAATTTGAGTGGTCGGATGAGGGATCATTCAAAAAGAAGTGCTAAAAAAAAGATTTTCTAATATCTATAGAGAAAAGAATCTGAGATTAATTTCTGTGTTCCTCGTATGAACTAGGAGCAGAATTGCTCTCCGTATCCTCAGTTATTTGTCTGATCATTTTTTAAGTTGCATGTTTTAAATGGATGTTGGTATTTGCTGCATTTTTTTGTTCCTTCAGACGGCAGGCGAAGAGAAGATTAAAATAGATTATCACATGAGTGTTTCCCTAGATTATTAGATTTCATATTACTTTTGTCTGATTTAGGGAAAAAAAATTGCCAAAAAAGGTATTAAACTAACTTTAAATGGTGGCTTAGTAAACTGAGGATCAGAAAACTAATATCTAAGGTTGAAAGCCCATGTTATCATATCCCATTATTTCTTTTCTAATGTATTTATTGATGTCATTGTACATGCTGACTACGCATTCACCCACTCAGAAATTGCCATATAGCACCTTCCTAGAGATATGGAGTCCTTGGCAGATGTTCCAGTACAGTCATGTGCACACAAAAATTAATGAGCAGATGTTTTTCAACTCCCAATACAGAAATCAATAAATTAAATTGAAAATAAGTACTAAATCCTCCATGCCACTTTACCCAGCAATACTGATACATGGGGCATTGTTCCCCTTCAGCCAAGGGAGGGCAGTGGCCCCTGCAGTGTCACACAGAAGTGAGGTGACCTGGGCCCCTCCAGAAAAAAAGTAAGGGAGTTAGGCACAGCATCGAAGTGTCCCTTGGAGAACACCCACCACCTTAGTAGCAACCCAGGCAAATAGTGCTAGATGAAGCGTTCTTGCGCCACAGCTGCAGCAGTGCTGGTCATCTGTCCTTGACTATGGGATATTGTTCCCCATCTGGAAGTGGGTATCGTTCATGTAGAATTCATGCTCGTGCTTTATCCAGCAAAGGAAACAAATAGAATTCCCTTTCTAAATACTCACTTTTGTTCTTGTATGCAGGTGCTTACAACTTACTCCATAAATCTATGATGCTTGAAACACAATAGCCAACATGCATTCCAGGTAGTCATGGACTCAACAGTCAATGGCTCAATGTCCAAGTGGGGATCAGTAACGAGTGGTGTCCCTGAGGGTTCTATATTGGGACCAGTATTATTTAGCATTTTGGTCAGGGACATGCATAGTGGGATTGAGTGCACCCTCAGCAAGTTTGTGGATGACACCAAGCTGTGTGGTGCAGCCAACATGCTGGAGGGAAGAGATGCCATCCAGGGGGCCCTTGACAAGCTGGAGAATCGGGCCTGTGCAAACCTCATGAAGTTCAGCAAGGCCAAGTGTGAAGACCTGCACCTGGGTCAGGGCAATCGCAAACATGGATATAGGACAGGCAATAAGCAAATTGAGAGCAGCCCTGCAGAGAAAGGGTATTGGTGAATGAAAAACTGAATATGAGCCAGCTATGTGTGCTCACAACCCAGAAAGTCCACCATATGCTGGACTGCATCAAGAGAAGAGTGACCAGCGGGTCGAGGGGGGTGATTCTCCCCTTCTACTCTGCTCTCGTGAGACCCCACCTGGAGTACAGTGTCCAGCTATGGGACCCCCAGTATACGAAGTGCATGGACCTGCTTGAGTGGGTTCAGAGGAGGACCACAAAGATGATCAGGGGGCTGGAGCACCTCCCTTCTGAGGACAGACTGAGACAGTTGGGGTTGTTCAGCCAGGAGAAGAGAAGGCTCCAGGGAGACCTTATAGTGGTACTTCAGTACTTCCAGTACTTAAAGGGGGCCTACAGGAAAGATGGGGAGGGACTTTGCATCAGGGAGTGTAGTGATAGGATGAAGAGTAATGGTTTTAAACTGAAGAGGGTAGATTTAGATTAGATATAAGGAAGAAATTCTTTGCTGTGAGGGTGGTGAGACACTGGCACAGGTTGCCCAGAGCAGCTGTGGCTGCCCCCTCCCTGGCAGTGTTCCAGGCCAGGTTGGACAGGGCTTTGAGCAACCTGGTCTGGTGGAAGGTGTCCCTGCCCATGGCAGGGGGGGTGGAACTAGATGGTCTTTAAGGTCCCTTCCAACCCAAAACATTCTGTGATCCTATGATTCTATGATTCTAGGGCTCTGGTAATCAAAATATCATCTTCCCACCTGGCTTAATTCACATAATTCACACTGTCAAGAGGCACAAAATCCCAAATGTCTGACAACATTTTATGTAGATTTTGTATTTCTGCTCTTCCATTCAAGAATCAGTGTTCACCCATCTTCTCCCTGTGGTCCCACATGGGCATCACTCACCTCTTGTTTTGTCTCTGTAGTGCATAATAGATCTCACTACTGAGAAGTCTATCAATAACAGGGTTCCTTGGGTCACTTTTTTTGTTCCAGACATTCTCTGAATGCACATCCCTCATACAAACCCATTATACTATTTCCAACATCATAATACTCCATTCCTATGCTTCAAGATGCTGAAAGGGGCACAATTGTAATGCTCCAGTTGCTGGACATCTTCTAGCATTGAGTTAAAAAAAAATAACCTCTGGTAGTATCTGAGAGATATCACAGTTAAGCGGAAAAGAGTAATCATTTAGATTTTCATGAAATTTCTTTAGGAAATTTTAATCAAATTTTAATTACATTTTCTTCATTTCTGCTTATCTCCAATTGTTTGTCTTAAACACAAAATCAGGTTTGATTGTATGATGTTAGATGCAGGGGAGATTCTGCAGAATGCTTAAGGAAAATAAATAACTTACAATTGTGATTTTTTACACAGAAAGCCTGAACTACTCTTATATGGCAAATCGAAACAGTGTTAAGAAAATCTAGTACTTGTAATGATCTGCCTGCCCTTATTCAAACTACAGACCCAGAATCATAAAACGTACTCATTGTACATTAGAGAAAATCAAGAACTTTTTGCATGGAATCTGAAAACAGGAAGAGATAAACTTTATTACATTATTTGCTATTAATTATTTTTACAGATGTAATCACAATACATTTCTGTGTTGGAGATATTCTTTCATACATCCTAAATTCTCAAGTGTAAAAACTTCCCTTCAAGGCAGAGAATCAATTCATTTAGGGTCTGAGGTTTGTATATTAAAAATACTGCTGGTTTTTAGAAAGATAAAATCAAAAATATTACAGATAGCACAGTTTACTTCTGGAATAAGCCTTCAGGAAGCACAAAAATAAATGAGTCAAAGTATCCAACTTAGATAGTAACACAAAATCATCACATCCCTATATGGAAATATAGCATTTAGGAAAGTCAGAGTTTGCCAAATGTGCTTTGTGTAGCCAAAATTTAAGATTTATCAAGGTTTGAAGGGCAATTTTTGTCATGAAGGTCCTAGTAAAAGATCCATTCATTAAACTCTTCTCCAATTTACGTGTTTTGAGTTTTCCCAGCTGGGATGAGTGTCACTGTATGTTTATTGTTCTTCAGATCCCCCTTACATCTCTCCTTCATTTGGACTAACACAAAGAAAATGGTAGTGATGTGCTTCATTCATTGTAAACAAGTAGTGAGGGACTCAGCCATCACATCTTCACTGACTACACAGCCACTTAGGCACCTTGATGATTGTCTCAGTCCATCTGACTTATTTTTTTGTATGCTTAGGTTATAAATTTTTCGAATTAGGACTCTCTTCTATAGAAGGATGCCATGTCTGACACTAGTACAGTATATATAATAAAAAATATCAATATTAAAAGCCATGACAATTTAATTCTACAAGGTGGGATATTTTCTTTCTTTGTGCTCATTAAAGACTTTTCCACTTCTTCTTTTTCAGCCACATGGGTTGGAGGAGGTTACATCAATGGAACAGCAGAAGCTGTGTATGTCCCAGGCTATGGTCTAGCCTGGGCTCAGGCACCTATCGGATATTCCCTTAGTCTGGTTTTAGGTAAGCAAAGAACTAAAGCTAATAGTCTCTCATTTTAAACAGTTCTGATGACAAATTGATCATTTGAAATGTGATAAAAGGATACTGAGGTAAACTAGATCCGTTCTGCTAATAGTTTTGACTATTAGAAAGAAAAATAGAAAATTGCTATAAATAGTTTGATATCTTAGTTCTCCTGAATGCCCTGGCAAGACCCATTTAATTATTACAACCATAATGATCTATGGAGGTCACAATAAGAAAGGTTTTATTGTGGGATTTTTTATTTTTTTTTTTTTTAATTATGTATATTGTTTTATACATTCTGGGTTTCTTTAAGTGCTTATATGATCTAGAATATGATAGTATCAGAGTATCTATAAATCTTGGAATTCAAGAATGACAAATATCCTTTCAGGTATAAGCAGAAGGGCTCATACCTTACAGATTTTCACCAAGCATCTAAGTAACTTGTTTAATTTTGTGTAGGAAGTCTGTCATAGAAGTGGTCTACTTGCTTAAAATTGGACCAAGCATCCTCATAAATGTGATACAAAACTCCAAATCACATGTCAATATTTAAATACACAATCCTACTATGCGCAGGTCAGACTGAAAAATACAGGCAGTATTATAATTTTTAGTGCTGTGGCCTCTAATTCCTGAAATGTAGTCTAAGAACTTCCTTACTTTTCTTAAAAATAATAGCAATAAAAAATTTCTAACCATGTCTCAAGCACATGGAACAGCTTGCAACAGTATGGCCCTGTGAGCCATGACGAATATACCACGAAGTTATCAGCTACATCCTCTCAGTTTGTGAACAGGTCATGTCTCTAAGGCAACTGCTGATGCAACTGTTTAAAAAGAATGTTTTTATAAAAAAGATCCTGTGTCCTTTATCCTTTATTAATGTGACTGATTGGCCTTTTTAATAGTACTTGACATCTTGGTCTATTTTGAGTCTTCTCTCATGATCCTCCCACCTAATCTGTCCCTTTGTTTCCTCTGGTTGTTTATCCAGGTTTTCTTGCCACTTTTGTTTCTTCCTGGGCAGCTCGATTGCCCTCCTTGCTCTTTTTTCCACTTGAAAATTCTTTCCTGTGGCATGTCCTGGTTCTTCTCTCTTCCCAGGCAGAAACCTTCCCCGTTGTAGATGTTCCTCTATTGGCACATGCAGGCCAGCTCCAGTTCCAGTACTAGTTCCTGTCCCTAAGAGCAGCTCTTTTTCCTGTAAGGAAAATAGTAACAGTAGATCACAGAATCACAGAATCGTCTAGGTTGGAAAAGGCCTTGAAGATACACCAGTCCAACCATTAACCTAACACTGACCGTTCCCAACTACACCATATCTCTCAGCACTATGTCTTGACACGACTCCACCACCTCCCTGGGCAGCCCATTCCAACACCTAACAACCCGTTCTGTAAAGAAATGCTTCCCAATATCTAGTCTAAACCTTCCCTGGCGCAATTTGAAGCCATTACCTCTTGTCCTATTGCTTGTTACTTGGTTAAAGAGACTCATCCCCAGCTCTCTGCAACCTCCTTTGAGGCAGCTGTAGAGGGCGATGAGGTCTCCCCTCAGCCTCCTCTTCTCCAGACTAAACACCCCCAGTTCCCTCAGCCGCTCCCCGTACGACCGGTGCTCCAGACCCTGCACCAGCTCCGTTGCCCTTCTCTGGACACGCTCGAGTCATTCAATGTCCTTTTTGTAGTGAGGAGCCCAAAACTGAACACAGGAATCGAGGTGCGGCCTCACCAGTGCCGAGTCCAGGGGTCAGATCCCTTCCCTGTCCCTGCTGGCCACGCTATTGCTGACACAAGCCAGGATGCCATTGGCCTTCTTGGCCCCCTGGGCACACTGCTGGCTCCTGTTCAGCCAGCTGTCAATCAACACCCCCAGGTCCCTCTCTGACTGGCAGCTCTCCAGCCAATCCTCCGCAAGCCTGTAGCGCTGCTGGGGGTTGTTGTGGCCCAAGGGCAGCCCCTGGCATTTGGCCTTATGGAAACTCCTCCAGTTGGCCTCAGCCCATGGCTCCAGCCTGTCCTGGTCTCTCTGCAGAGCCTCCCTACCCTCGAGCAGATCAACACTCCCACCCAACTGGGTGTCATCTGCAAACTGACTGAGGGTGCACTCGATCCCCTCCTCTAGATCATCAATAAAAATGTTAAACAGGAGTGGCCCCAAAACCGAGCCCTGGGGGACGCCACTCGTGACCGGCCACCAACTGGGTTTAACTCCATTAACCACCGTCTTTGGGCCCAGCCATCCAGACAGTTTTTTACCAGCGAAGTGTGTAATCATCCAAGCCACAAGCAGTCAGTTTCACCAGGAAATCACTGTGGGAAATGGTGTCAAAGGCCTTACTAAAGCCAAGGTAAACAGCATCCACAGCCTTTCTCCCATCCAATAAGCAGGTCGCCCTGTCGTAGAAGGAGATCAGGTTTGTCAGGCAGGACCTGCCTTTCATAAGCCCATGCGGGCTGGGCCTGATCCCCTGGTTGTCCATTATATGACTTGTAATGGCACTAAAGATGACCTGCTCCAGGACCTTCCCTGGCACTGAGGTCAGACTGACAGGTCTATATTTTCCCAGATCCTCCTTTCTGCCTCTCTTGTAGATGGGTGTCACATTTGCCACCCTCCAATCCAATGGGACCTCCCCAGTTAGCCAAGATTTCAGGTAAACCATGGACGGCGGCTTAGCGAGCACATCTGCCAACTCTTTCAGCACCTTTGGGTGTAACCCATCTGGTCCCACAGACTTGTGTGCGTCCAAGGGGTGCAACAGGTCTCTGACCACCTCCTCTTCAACTGTGCTGACCTCAGTCTGCTTCCCCTCCCCATCTCCCAGCTCATGAGGCTGGGTGTGCAGGGAACAGCCAGTTCTACTGCTAAAGACTGAGGCCAAGTAGGTGTTGAGCACCTCAGCCTTTTCCTCATTCTTAGTTACCATGTTTCCCTCTGCATCCAGTAAAGGAGGGAGATGTCTGCCTGGAGATCAGTTGATGTCATGATGAGGTCATGGAGGTCATCATCCATTGATGTCATTAAGCGGTTGTTAGGATCGTAGCCACAAGCATGCTCCTGACTCTTAGCCTCTGTAGAATTGACACAAATTAATAATAACCCTGAATGGGTTAAGTTAGCTTCTCCCCTCATTTCTGTCTGTTTTTAAAGATACTCAGTCTTTTCTCGAGGAAATTATAATGGCCACTGCAGGAAAAGTGAAGTCTGCATCATGTGACCATATATCTCTCTGCAGAGCACAGAGAGGAAAGCATTTCTGCAGCATGATCTGTACATAGACTTCTTTAAAAAAAAATAAAGAATATATATATATATATATATATATATATGTAAAAGGCTAGAGGACATATTACTGCTTCAGACTGGAAAGATTTAAGACTGATGTAATCTCTTCGTTAGTTCAATGTTGTGCTGCAAACCACTTTTCCTAATTTTTCAAGCAATTTATTTAAATGGTTAGAATATCTACTATTTCCTTTGATAGATGCATGAACATGCTAATAGATTACAATACCAATGACACTTTTCTTCTTCTTTTAGTTGTCTTTTGTAATGATGACATAACAAGTAGAATAGGAACAGGATCCATGACCAGTCCAAGAATAGTTTAAAAATGCTGTAGTTTCTGCTTCCAAACAACCTGCCTAAAGACAGCATTAACATAAGCAGTATAAATAAATTGTGATTGGTAAGCTGGTACCTTCCCTTCAGGGAACTTAATGAAATGAAGAAATATGAGCCATGTAAGGGAATACATAGATAGGTGGGAAATCTTCTGTACAGTACAATACAATTAATACATTACATATCTTGTGATGAAGAACCTAACTGAGGGTCACCAAATACTGAACAGTAGATTTTATTGGGAACTGACTCATTTTCCAGGGTTTTTTATTGTATTGTATATATTGCATTTCAGCAGTTTTACTGTGGTAGAAGTCTACTTAGTTTTAGTCATGTGCACATCTCAACTACACAGGTTTCTGTGTAGGGCTTTCAGCTTTCCCGAGATGTGTTCTTTTTTTTTCCCCAATCAGAAAGAAGTTGAGGACTGTACATGAGAAAGGTGAGGCCTCTGCACATTTATGTACATATCCAGCCCATATGCCAGCCAGGCAGAGCACCGCTGTGATACATCAAAATTCCTGAACATTCATAAGTGAAATCTATGTACAACAAATGCTCAGTGAGCCTCTAACACCTGCAGAGCCCAGGAGGCATATGACCTACCCTGGTGTAGTAAGGTTGATTTAAGCATACATAAAAAATAAGAATTATCCTGAAAGAATCAGATTTGTTGCATGTATACTAAACCATGTGTGAACTAATATTTCTGATCGAGGAATCCTAGAGAATTTTATTTTTAGAGTAGGACCATGTGAAAATTCATGCTGGATTCTGAACAGGAAAATTCCCTTAGGCTAATCCAAAATTAGACAAAACTTTGACAGCATCCATAATGGCAGATTAAGCAAACTGAACCTGATGAAACAAGACAAATTTATTTTCCATTATGAGATCATAGATATTAATGGTGTCAATGTATTTATGTAACTCTGTAGACAGATATAAGGGTAAGAGTTCATAGAGGATATTTTAACTGTACTTATTTATTTTAAAAAACCCAAACAATAATACTGATATTTTTGTACCCTTAAATGACAACCAATGGTTTACCCCTTAATGGCAATGCATTTTTCACTGCAGCTGGTGTCTTATGCTACTTTTCTTTGTAGGTGGCCTTTTTTTTGCAAAACCTATGCGATCCAAAGGCTATGTGACAATGCTAGACCCTTTTCAGCAGCTTTATGGGAAAAGGATGGGAGGACTACTGTTTATTCCAGCTTTAATGGGAGAAATGTTTTGGGCTGCTGCCATCTTCTCTGCCTTAGGTAAGGAATAAGCAGTATAATTATTAATTTGTCACAGGTGTAAGGGGTTAAGAAAATCAGAAATGCATTAAAAATCTGGCTTCAAATACTATCTTAGCAAAATTATTCAGTGTGACAGATCTCAAACCCATGCTAGCTAGTAATTAAAGCTGGTAATGGTACCCCATTTATTATTTTGGTACATTTAAGTTGTCTCTTTTCAAAGAGCATTAAAAGATTTAGCAACAAGTTTCCTTTAACTGCAATGGTGACATGAGTGATTGCAAGCATCCCTTTTGTGTCAAGGCTGGCCCAGTTTCTCTTTTACACTACTGAGATCACAGAAGCCAGTCAAAATTTCCCTTAAAGATGTGAAACGTTATTGCCAATGCATCTAAACAAAATAATTATTTGCATATAGGAGACCTACATATAGAGAACTTTCCATAGCACAAATAATAGAAGTAAAACAGATTCTGATCAATAAATTTCAGTATTATTCAATTCTAAATGGCTTTCTACTTGACAAAATGAAGAAAATACTTAGGATTCAAGAAAGGATTCAGAGAATTAGTGGAACTGTGACTCAATAGAAAACACCCAACTACTCATCCAGTCCTGAAAAAAAATCAGTTTCCAGGGTTTTTAATTATATTTCAGGCCTGAATTTAGCAGTCCCTTCAAGAACTGAGAAAGCCCTTGAGTTGAAGCACCAGTAGTTGACTTTTACCAGCTAATCATACTCATAGTGCACATGCATGTGGTAATGCTTTCTAGCACAAGCTATTTTAAACAGAAAAGAAACTTTGAAGGTACTCTCCAACTGTGCTCTGATGAACTGCAAAGCAATGGGGAGCTTGTTTACCACAATTTCATCACAAAACCCTTAAAGGACTAAGAACAAATTACATGCTGAGGTGATAGGAGTTGAATAACTTGAAGAACACTCTTAAGTATTTGGAATATACTTTCTTTTTGATTGAGGACAAAGGAATCTGTGATATTTCAAAGCAAGTTGTGTGAATACCTTTCTAGTAGGTTTATATTAACAGCTGACAGTTAAAGACTGTCAGTGATTTACAAAGGTGATTTTGGTAAAGGTTTTGATTTTAACTATTCTGTGAATAATTTAGTTATATTATACCTCCTAATTTGCACACCTGTCCTCACTGATGAATATTTAATCCCAGTACTCTTCACTGTTTGATCTTCCTCAAGACTCCTTGCTTGGCAGGGTTGTAGAGGGGAAAGATAGGGCTTCCAACTTGTGAAAGAGGTCTGACCTTGTAAACCTCAAGCACACGAACACTGAAGTCTCACTATACGGCAAAAAAACACCTGGCAGTTTCCAGCAGCTCTTATATGTCACACATCATGTTGTGTTCTACTGCCAGAACCCTTCCACCTATGTGGTCAAGAGTATCCATCTACAATACCTGCAAGGACTAGAAGTTATTGCAAGATGTTTAATTTAAATCATCCTAATTAGAAGAGGACTTTTTAAAACAGGGGTTCAGAGCACTGCAATCATGTAAAATAGCTAATACATCTAAGGGAAATGTATAACTATCCTCATAGCTGCCAGAAGGGCAGTGCAGGAGTGCACAAGCAATTCAGGAGCTTTCTTCAGTGCACTGACAACAACTTCCTGATTCAAATGATCAGGGAGCTGATGAAGGGAGGTGCTCTGTTGAACCCATTACTTATAAACAAGGAAGAATTAGTTAGGGGTGTAAAGGTTGGAGGCAGACTTGGCTGCAGTGTTCATGAGATGATGGGGTTCAGGGTCCTGAGAGGAGGGAGCAAGACAAAAATCAGGACCACAACAATGGACTTCAGGAGTAGAGCTCAGCCTCTCAAGGGATCTGCTTGGAGGAATCCCCTGGGGGACAGCCCTAGAGAAACGAGGCGTCAGGGATCACCTCCTCCAAGCTCAAGAACAACCTGGAAAACAAGCAAAGCTGGCAGGAGACTTGAATGGATGAAAAGGAGCTCCTGACTCAGACATAAAAAAAGAAGCATTTAGGAGGTGGAAGCAGGGACAGGGGACCTTGAAGGAATACAGAGACACTGTTCAAACATGCAGAGATAGGTTTAGAAAAGCCAGTGTCCACCTGGATTTGAATTTGGCCATGAAGGACAGCAAGAAAGGTTCCTATGAGTGCATAAACTAGGGAAAATGTGGACTGCTGTTGAACGGGACAGGGCAAAGTGGCAAAGGATGTGGAAAAGGCTGAGGTACTCAGAGCCTTCTCTGCTTTGTTCTTTGCCAGTAAGACCAGCTTTCAGGAATCCTAGGACCCTGAGAATGCTAGGAAAGTCCAGAGCAAGGAAGGCTTCCTGGAGGAGGATCAGGTTAGGAAACATTTAAATAGACTGAACAGACAGGATTCCATGGGACCTCATGGTGCATCCTGCAAGTGCTGTGGGAGCTGGCTGATAGCATTGCAAGGACATTCACAGTCATTTTCTGGACTGTGGTGATCAGGGATGCTCCTGAAGACTGGAAGAAAAAAAAATGTCATTCCCATCTTCAGGAAGGGCAAGAAGGATGATATCAGAAACTAAAGCCCGGTCAGCCTGACCTCAATTCCCTGGAAGATGATGGAGCAAATATTCCTGGAAAGTACTTCCAAAGAAACGAAGGTCACAAAGGGGACTGGGAGGAGTCAGCATGGATTTATCGAAAGGAAATAATTCCTGACCAACCTGACATCTTCCATGATAAGCTGACTGGTTTGGTTCATGAAGGGAGAGCAGGGCACGTTGTGGATTTCAAAACGGGCTTTTTATACCATTTCAAATAACAGTCTCATGGACAAACAGATGAAGTGCAGGCTAGATAAATGGACAACGAGGAAGATTGAAAACTGGCTGAACTTCTGAGCTCACAGGGCTGTGTCCAGCAGCATGGACGCCACCGGGTGGCCAGTCACCAGTTGTGCACCCCAGAGGTCAATACTGAATCCTCTGTTTTTTAACAGTTGCGTCAGTGACCTGGCTGACCCGACCAAGTGCACCTTCAGCCAGTTTGCAGAGAGCAAAAGCTGTGAGGAGCTGCTGATAGACCAGATGGTTGTACTGCCATTCAGAAGGACTTCAACAAGCTGCAGAAACGGGCCAATAGGAAGTTCATGAAGTTCAACAAAGAAAATACTAAATCCTGGCCTGATGTCCCAGTACAGGCTGAGGGCTGACCAGCTGGAAAGCAGGTTTGCAGAAAAGGACCTGGGAGCCTTAGAAGGCAATGAAGTTCATCATGATCCATCAATGTGTCCCTGTGTCAAAGAAAACAAATGGCATCCTGGGCTGCGTTAGTAGAAGGACCGTTGCCAGCAGGTTGAGGGAGGGGATCCTTCCCCTCTACTCAGCACTGGTGAGATACACATGGAGTGCTGGATCCTGTGCTCCCCAATGCAAGAGACGTGGACATACTGGAGAAAGTCCAGTGAAGAGCCACAAAGATTTTTAAGGGTCAGGAGTATCTGGCATATAAGGAGAGACTGAGAGAACTGGTACTGTTCAGCCTGGAGAAGGCTCAGGGGGATCTTACCCATCTGCATAAACACTTGATTTGGCAGTGGGGTGAGCAGAATAAAGAAGACAGAGCCAGGCGGATATCTGGGCTGCTCAGTGACAGGACAAGAGGCAATGGGCACAAACAGAACTAAAGGAAATTTCAGGTGAACTTAAGAAAAAGCTGCTTCTTTTTTTTTTTTTTTTTTTTTTTTTTTTTTTTTTTTTTTTTTTTTTTTTCTACAGTGGGAGAGGTCAGACACTAGCACAGGTTGCCCAGGAAGGTTGTGGAGGCTCAGTCCTTGCATCTAGTCAAGACACAACTGAACATGAACCTGAGAAACCTACTCCAGCTGATACTGCTTGAGTGGGAGCTTGGACTAAACAATCTCTAGAGGTGCCTTTCAGTGTCAGCAACTCTTTGATTCTATGAGCTGTTTTGTGGAGACTGACTGGTCAGCTCATCATTGTGGGGTTTTTTTCTACAAATGAAATCTGCTTGATGGTGCTTGGGAAAATTCTTGGTTTATAGGTCCACAGTGAAGGATGGATTCTCCAGTTTGCAAAGAAACCCACCTTTGTCTCATGTAAACAATTCAAAGGCACTTTAGAAGGATCAGTGGTCAATTGTCCCTATAGCTGATGCCTCCTTTACCATTCCTTCCTTGGTCAAAAGAGGCTTGCTCAGAGCGTAAGTGTGCTACGTTGCAGCAGACCTCTCCTAAACGCAGCCTTTACTCCAACGATACACTTGTTCCCATGTAGCTGCAGCTCATCCAGGAAAGCTTCATCTATGTGTGGCTGCTTTTCTCTAGACAGAAAGGGAGAGTGTAGTCCTTACACAGCTCGAGCAATGTAAGGAATGGCTGTTGGGACCCTTCCCTCCTCCATTTCATAAGAATCTCTGAAATGAGAGATGCTAGACTTAGACGAAAAGGATCCTTCATTTTCCCACTACCTCCAAAGTTGCAGAAGGGGTGTGCAGAAAATAGAGGGGGGAATATCTTCATGCTGTGACTAAGTGTCAGAGTAGCACCCGTATATGCAATTTAACAAAGGTGACCAGTCTCGTCAGATGTACTGTGACATACACTAATACACAGTGCTTTGTTTTTCCCTTAGGTGCCACTATAAGTGTGATCGTTGACCTTAACGTCAACATTTCAGTCATTATTTCTGCCCTGATTGCAACTATGTACACACTTGTGGGTGGGCTTTATTCTGTGGCCTATACTGATGTAGTTCAGCTCTTTTGCATCTTCCTAGGACTGGTAAGTTTGGCTTTTTTTCTCTTCTTTGTTGAGAATTTTGCTCTGAGTATTATGACTGCTGAGACCTATTGCCCAGCTTTGGTTTTGGAACAGTGTCTTCACTGAAAGCATGGAGAAGCAGTATCTCCACTTACAGAACCCTGACTTTAAAGAGTCTGCATTTACACCAGTGTATAGCCTGTGCTTTGACAGTAACACTGACTGAGAGGCCCAGTTCTTTGGCTTTTTTCCAACCAGTCTGATAGTGCAAACACTCTTAACTTTCCTGCTGAGTATATATCTAACTGAGGACAGGACTGGAGGACTTTCTTTCCCTATCTGTCCATAGGACTGTGGCACAGGCATCAGACATAGGAAGCAGTCAGTAGAGCAGTCCAGAAACACTGACACTGGACCTGCAGAGCTGATACTCTCCTGCTTTTCTTTCCTCTAGCTGTCACTTATTCATACAGCTTAGTTAACCTCCTGCTTTAAATCACCCTTTTGATTTTTCCTTCAATTTCCCTCCACCATCCCTGGAGACCATAGTATAGGAAGTCTCACCAGATGACCCTGCTGTTTGAGTATGGTGGTATGAATATCCCCTCATCAGCTATCAGTGATATGCTAGCGGGTAGCCTTTTATTTACTCCTGTTCTTTAAGCCCTACTCCAAAAAACATCAATTAAACAGGGCTCAGATCACAGGGGTGCAATCGAAGAAAGAAGCTGTTGTCTTTGTTTGCTAATGGTGGTAATAGATGGTCACAGGTGTGTAAGAGATCTAAAGCAAGCTGAAATAAATGGTGTGGCTCAAGGTGAAGAAACTGAATGGCACCTTGGGGACCCAGAGTTGTTTCTCTGCTTTCACTGGAGTTCTTGTGCAGCTCTAGGGAAATTGCTTCAGCCAGTCACACAGGTGATCACTAACAACCCTGTGTGTGTCCTCAATCTGGGGCATCCTACTGTGAGGCCTATAGCCTTATTTGCAGAAGTGCTAAGCACTCCCTGTTGTAACTGACTTCATGGGAATGGTGCTAAATACCCTGAAAAAGCAAATCCAAGTTCCAGCTGGCCACCTCAAATGAGAAGTTATTCCAGATCTTCTTGTGTCATACCTTCGTTCTTCACCTGCACAGAAGAGAAAATACTGTCTCCTTCCCTAACATACATGTTCGCTATTTGTGAACGATTCAGTTTTTACAGATGGTGTGCATTACAGAAATTCCCAAAGTTGTAGATAAATCAAAACACAGAAATGCTTTTCCAATGAGATCAACTCATGCACTGCTAAAGACCCTGATCCCATGGGAATAACATGTGATCCTGTGTTAAAGGCAGCATGTGTCTGACAGGGAGAGGAAAGCAAATGAAGGTTGCATAGCAGTCTTCTAAATGGTTGGATCTGTAGCTCTAATAGTGGGGTTTTTTTTAATTCAGATTGGGCTCTTTATGTAATTTTCCATTTAAAATAAACAGCAATAATGTCATGTAGAAGGAACCATATTCATAACCTCAAGAGCCATCAGTGGGGCAGGAAGCCTCAGGTAGCATCTAAATGGTCACGCTCTAGATGAGGCGGTTTTAGATGAGATGGGACACTTTTACAGTAGGTGTCATAGCAGATGTCACAGGCTCAGGTACCCCAGCTTTTCCTCCAGCTTCAGGAGCAGTTCGCATTCCCACTGGCACTGAGCTTTACTGCTCATTCCTCTAATGTCTGTTCCTCTCCTGTTCCTCACCCAAGAGGAGATGCTTGTTCTAATCACTTCTGTTCACTACTGTGGCTCCTCACTTCAGCCACAGCTTCATCTGTAGGCTTCCATAACCTCTACTCTAGTGACTCCACATAATTCCTTGGTTTTCTCATTACAATCCCATGTAGTCTGTCCTTTCCTCCTCACTCTCCTGTACCCACATCTGCAGTTCTCAGCTCTTTGTCTTTATCTTGCCCACTGAGTCTTTCCCTGATCCTGCACTGTATTCCCGCTATTTACTGACTCTTCATCTCAGTTGTGTTATTAATTCCCCATTCTAAACTCTTTGCCACCATGTAGAAGTCCTTTTTCTTCCTGGTTTTTAACCCCATGAGGTTCAGGTTCTTCTAGCTTCTTGCTACTTCTACTCCCAGCATAAAGTCCCAGTTTCTGCTTCACTTATATGAGCCTTCATTTTATTTGTTTTCCATTCAAAACAGTGAATTTTCTACCCCCATTAGAAAAGGCTCAATGAATAGTCTATAATATGTCTATATTAATCAAGTTAAACAGTGCCAAGGTGAAAACACAGGATCATCTGTAGTGCTTAATTGCTGACACAGTCTTGGCACTATTTTGGCCCATGCCAACTAGTATTTTCCCAGATAATTCCCAAGTACAGTTTAGGTCTGTCCTTTCTGGCAGAGAAAGGAGTCTAGATGTATGAATGTAAATGATGACTTGACAGTGAACTGCAGGGCCAGAGAAATGTATCTTGATTTGTTTTATTTACTAACGTAGAGGTAGGCCTTGAGACCACGAAGATCTAGGTTACTGTCAGGAACTGGAATGGATTATAAAAGCTGATAATGCATTTGCAATACATTACCTGTTAATTCCTGGGCCATGGCATGCAGGCTGCAGATGGATATTTAGAAATTTACCATACTGAAAATCTCAGTGGAGCAGGGGCAAACCATAGCTCTTCAGAAGTTCATCACTTGGACATGTTTGAGAATCGAGGTTCAGAAACAAGAAAAAAAAAATTAAAATCTGTTTGACATACTTGATCCCAGTGAATTTCTCCACAAGAAGGAGTATTAACATCCATCAGTTTTGACAATATGTTTATTTTTCCCTCAAAATGTCTTGGAGGCAGTTGAAACTTTTGGTAATCTTTCCCAGAAAAGCCCAAGCAGGCAGTGAGAAGGGAATCTTTCTGCCCAAGTGCTTAAATTGACAAAGTTTAAGATGTGACTGAGAACAGAATACTATGGTATGTGATAAACAGCCTGAATAACAAGAAGCACTGCAAAATATTCTTCACACATTATTGCAATAATTGTTCAACAAAATAGAGGAAGATGTTTGATTTCTCCCCTCCTTGATCCTCTTACCCCATACACTTAAATCTGTTTGGTGGGATTGTGGTAATCTGTGTGGGTTTGGACATCGTTGAATCTTTAAGGATGCCATGCTTGTGATGGTCTATTCCATACAGCACAAAGCTTGTTTTTCATCTCAGTAGAAGCTGCTGAGGTTTTCCTCATAGAAAGTTTGTGAGTTAGACCATTGCAAAATGTGTTAGCAAGTAAACGCACAAAAAGTCAGTTGGTGGGGGAAACGAACCTTCTGACAGAAACTGTCTCTGGGAGCAGTTTCTCCACTGATTTTCTGGCCTAGATCATAAATAAAGAGACTGAAAACAGTCAAGAGCCCTTCAAGGCAGAAAAGTGCTGTAATGCTGGGATACTGTGCATTCTGGAGCAAGAGAGATGGGGGTTCTCTTGTCATGATATAGATTTGTGTTGAATTACAAACAAATTCCCAAGTCTTTGGTGTGTTTGCAATGTCTCATGCCTGTATACTGGCAAATCCTGATTCTATTGCATGTAAGTTTATATATAGATGTGTGTCTACAGTGTGATCCAGGGAAGTGTGTAAAGAATATATGTGAAGTTTAGGGAAAATAAAATGAAGATGTATAAATGTGTCTTTCTCTTCTCATACTCACACTCTCCGGGGCAGAGGTAAGCTATCTGTTACCAAGCGTTACAAACCAAGGAGATATTCCACCTGCACATAACCTGACTTTCCTGCAAGTCAGTTCAGCAATTTGGCATTAGATCTGTAGCATGCAAGAGGAAATAAAGCAGATCAGTGTTAATATTAAAATTTCAGAGATTTAGAATGCCTTCTTTAGACCTGAACAAAGGGTTTCTCTTTGGTTACAGTGGATCAGTGTACCCTTTGCAATGTCCCATCCTGCAGTGACAGACATTGGGTTCACGGCCGTGCACCAGGTGCACCAAGAACCTTGGCTTGGATCTGTCAACTCACTTGACATTTACACATGGCTGGACAATTTCCTTTTACTGGTAAGTGATGGCTTGTATGAAGGAATGAAGTATTTAAGGACTCACACTGTGTTACCGTGACAGCTGAAAATAATAGTCTAGTTAAGAGTTTCCAGAAAACTGAAAACTTTTACCCTCCTGACTTCTGCTCAGTATTTCTGAACATTTGAATGATTTCAGTGAAATATCAGTCGAATATTGTAGCACAGCTGTCAAAGTAAACATTGCCAGGAATGCAATTTAAATATCATCAGTATGAAAGAGTTGACTTATGCTAAAATTAATTAAAAGTGTGCAGCTAGTATTTAACTGATGTCATTGTTGGCAGAGGAATTTATATATTGCAGAAGGCAATAAATACGTTATACAAATGTTTAAATATGCCTTAGGTATAGGTGATGTAAAAAAAGCTTTGCAGGGATGGATGGATGGATGGATGGATGGATGGATGGATGGATGGATGGATGGATGGATGGGTGAATTCATACATGCACGCATGCCAGAATGAATGGAGGGCTTTCGTTATTTAATACCTATGTATTACACACGGGATTGGTGGTTATTAAGTACTTTCCATTAAAAGATCTAGCAACACATGCTAACATTTTCCATTCTCGTCCCTGAGCAACTCTACACTGTTTTTATAATCATGTTGTACTTTGGGATTCCTTTCACTGTTTTTTTAAATAATCTTAACCAAAAATCTTCAGAGCTTTCTGATAATTGGGCTATTAAAATATTGTTTATCCAGATTAAATTTTTTAGGGATTCGCAGAGAACCAAAGCATGACATTAACTCAGGAGGCTGTATTCTGTCTAGTAAGCCTGAAGGTTTCGTCTTTGCTGGTAAACAAAGGAAAGCTCTGAAGTTGCCTAATTGTGACACATTTTCTTTTCATCTTGTTTGTTTCATTATAGCTTAAGAAATTTACACATGCTTGGAAAGCTTTGTTAAAGGAACGTTATTAAGGCTAAAAAGAAAAACAGTCATAAATAGCAAGTCAGAATCAGAGTTGCCTGTGAAACATTCATTTGGTCCCTGTGTGTGCATGAAACGTGGATGGAACACCTGTATACACACTATTTGGTCCAAATGCCTCCTGCCTCATTTAGTGAGCAGAACTAGACTGTGCATATTTAGTGAGAAGTTTGCTTTATTTTCTTTCTATGGTGTTTAGTCATAGGCACTTAGTTACTTAATGGAAACTATTCAAATCCTTCTCTCAGGACAGGATTGTTAGTACTTGAAGTTTTAGAGTTTGATAATACCACTTTGTGTGATGTTTCGCAGACATAATTTTAAATGCAGTCAGGATCTTCACTGTTATATACCCTAAACAAGAGAAGGATTGCTATCACAAAATAATTTTTTTTTACTGCTTTGTCTTTAATTTCTGTTGCTATCATGTTTAAGACAGTGGGACAATAATTTTTCAGATTCTTGTGTTTAGTGTATACAGAACATGTTGCCTTGGTTAGATGTCCACATGTATTCATGAAGGAAGATAAAATCCTGTCGGTGTCTAATCTAATTTTGCAGGGGGAGGGTACTGGAGTCCAAATTCTTCAAATATGAAACACGACAATAGTATTTTATAACCTTTCCTAAGACTTAAGTATTTATACAGTTTACAATAATTGGGGATTTCAGAAACTCTGCAAGTGCAAAGTGTTAATTGTACAAAGAAATATCTTGTCTAAAAGAATGGAATTTAGGTGGATTTACAAAGGTTTGATATACTTGTGAGAATGAAAGTTACAGCTATTACTGACTGACATTCAATAAATAAATGAAAGAGCAGCAACACAGCATTCAGCATTCAAGTGATGGGTCTGTTTGCTCTCTAGATGACAATAGCAAAAAAATAAAAATCCAGTTTAGCCCCCAATGACAGGATGCTGCCCACTGTGTTTGCAGACATTAGGAGGAATCCCATGGCAAGCGTATTTCCAGCGAGTTCTTTCCTCATCTTCTGCCACATATGCTCAGGTTCTGTCATTTCTAGCTGCTTTTGGCTGTCTTGTGATGGCTCTTCCTGCAGTTCTCATTGGTGCAATTGGAGCATCCACAGGTAAGTGATTAAAAATTAATAGTACAATCGATATGTGAAAACCCTACAAAGCTTATGTTAGATATAATCTAGCCAGGTGGCATCATTAAGCAACTCATGACTTCTTCAACAGAAGAGTACACTGAAAAATAATATTGTAGAATATTTCTCCCAGGGGAAATTACTCCTACCCCAGTGGTTGAGATTAACTCATTGTGCACATTCTAGGTATCTACAGATGTAAAATTTCTATTTAATATTTGAGTTAGATTCTGGTACTTTTGTTTGGTTCTAACAGTAATAATGAGGAGTGGCTGAGGGAACTGGGATTGTTTAGCCTGGAGAAAAGGAGGGTAAGGGGACACCTTAGTGCTCTCTACAAAGAGGTTGTACTGAGGTGGCTGTCGGTCTCCCAGGTAACAAGTGATAGGACAAGAGGCAATGGCCTCAAGTTGTACCAGGGGAGGTTTAGATTGGATATTAGGAAATATTTCTTCACTGAAAGGGTTGTCAGGCACTGGACCAGGCTGCCCAGGGAAGTGGTTGAGTTACCATCCCTGGAGGTATTTAAAAGATGTGTAGATATGGTGCTTAGGGACATGGTTTAGTGGTGGACTTGACAGTACTAATGGTTGGACTCAATGATCTTAGAGGTCTTTGCCAACCTAGATATGGACAAACAAATACGGATCTCAGACTTGTTTTATTGAGGAAAATTACATTTATGAGCAATGTAAAGTTTTAATATTAAACTTACTACTGGATGATCAGAGGGTGTGGTCAGATTTAGTTTAGAGATAAGGAAAAATGCTGAAAGGAATTAAATCTGCCTAACAGAAAACAGTGGGACACTGCTTTTCTGAAACACCATCAGTCTGGCCCTAGTAACAGTTTGATCATTGAATGTGAATGAAAATGTGGCAATATGAATAGCTCACTACACATGAAACCAAGAGATGCTGTAGCTGATGACTATTAATGTTACTAATAACATACCGGTGTCCATATTGCAGCCTGGAATGAGACTGGGTATGGAGTCCCTGACCCTATGTCTAAAAAAGAAGCAGATATGATTTTACCAATTGTGCTCCAGTACCTTTGCCCAGTCTATATCTCGTTCTTTGGCCTCGGCGCTGTTTCTGCTGCTGTGATGTCATCAGCTGACTCATCAATTTTATCAGCAAGCTCTATGTTTGCTCGGAACATTTACCAGCTTTCCTTCCGGCAAAACGTGAGTTTACATTCTCATTTTTACTTTTTGAGAAAATTTTAGATGAGACCTTAACTAGGTAATGCATAGACGGTAATTTCATAATGAAACACCTCTTTCACATTCCTGCCTATGACTAGAAAAAGTATAGCATTTAATTCTTAACAGTATATTGAATAAACTGAAAATCATAAAAATATTTATGGTTGTGACTGACAGCAGAGGTGAAAAAGCTAGCTCAAGGGAGTCAGCTTTCATGAGTTTCCATGACACTGCAGTCTATCCAAGCAGCTCCTAATTATGTTTGCAACAATATTTTTTTCTTGAATCTTTACAAAATGAGGCGTCTTTCTGAATTATTGATTTATTAGGAAGTCATTTGACAACAGAATCAGCTAGTGAGTCAGAGTTTTTCTTAGGAAATGACAAAGAAGAAATTCTGATGCTGACAGTTTTTTCTGGTTGAGCCATATTGTGCTTATATCTAAAAGTTATTTGTAACACTGCTGCTGTTTTCTTCTTTGACATCTTATCAAATTTTTTCTTATGCTCAAAGTTTAACAACTTTGGGAATAGCAACCATGACCTTTGGGTTTTTTTTTCTCTGTGCTTGAGATGGAGATAGAGACAGAGATATTTGTTTGTAAATATTATTAAATATGTCACACAAAATTTTCTTTTACAATGCAGTATTTTATATTGACTATGTGCATAAATGTAGGCATACATATATTTTCACGAAAAAACACCTAACTCTGCCCTTTTTTTGCAGGCTTCAGACAGGGAAATCGTGTGGGTTATGAGAATCACTGTTTTTCTGTTTGGAGCATCAGCAACAGCAATGGCACTGCTAGCTTCATCAGTGTATGGCCTGTGGTACCTCAGCTCTGACCTTGTTTATATCATCATATTCCCCCAGCTCCTGTGTGTGTTATTTGTTAAAGGAACCAACACCTACGGTGCCATTGCAGGATACTTATTTGGCCTTGTTCTCAGAATAACTGGAGGAGAACCGTACCTCTACCTTCAGCCCTTGATCTACTATCCTGGCTGCTATCCAGATGAAAATAATATCTATATCCAGCGATTCCCATTTAAAACACTTGCTATGCTTACCTCCTTCTTTACTAACATTATAGTGTCCTACTTAGCCAAATACTTATTTGAGAGTGGGATTTTGCCACCAAAGCTGGATTTCCTTGATGCTGTTGTTGCCAGGTACAGTAGAGAACACATGGACAAAGCAACTCTTGTAAAAAGTGACAATATTGTATTAAACGAACTTGCACCTGTGAATCCACGACACAGTCTAACTTTGAGCTCAACTTTCACAAACAAGGAAGCCTTCAATTATGTTGATTCGAGTCCAGAGCTGTCCAACACTGAAGATAATTAAAAAATCTGTTAGCCACAGGCAAAGCAATGTGAATCAGGATATTCTACAAAGAACAGTGAGAGGAATTTTATCAGAAGAAAAGCAAAAACTGGAAATAAAATGCCACTGCACAATTCTTTAATTTGTTTCTAGGAGCAGGAGCATCCCATGGGAGGAACTCTTTTCTGTTATTATCTAACGTTGGATTAGATCATACAGTGTTTACCAAAAGATACACTCAGATCGCATTCTTTTCACCCAGGACTGTATGCTGTGTAATTTAAAAAGTATTTACAATTGAAAATATACGTAGCAGAAAAAGTGCAGCAGTTATTTAGCTAGGACATCATATGAAGAGATTATAATCCAGTCACTCTGAAATACTATCAGTCAACATTTTATTGGCATTAAGTGAAAATATATTATCACAGCTAAAAGTGATTTATTACTAAAGAGCTAGTTGCTTGAGCAAAGACAGATAGATAACTTCCCTGGGGTTTTGGTCTGGTCATTTTTTTCCTCATAAAGAAATTCAAATAACACAATACAGTATTTTATTATTTGAAATGCACAGACAGTGATAAATTCCTTGTAGGAGTGCTAAACATCATATACTAATTAAAAAAGTTAATATTAAGTCAGTTTCAAATTATGTTATACCAAACGCAAGACAACCTTAGACAAAGTATGTTACTATAGGTGTTCTTTTTTTCCTGTGGTTAGTGGCTGTCACCAATAGAGGATAACAAAATTTTTAAAGCAATAATTGGAGTTGAAACTTAGATTGTGAATAATTACATAACTCTTAGAACTTTTCAACGTTGAGAAAAGAAACCTTATCTTGACTTAACATCAAAATGAACACTGAGCAAAGAAGTCTGACACAAAGCAACTTGCAGCAATGGAACAAATACTAAAAAATAAGGAGAGTCAAGAAGGCTTGAAAAAACAGATGAGAGGGTTTTCCATGGGGAAAATTCCCATTTTTCACTTAAAAAAAATATTCTCAAAGACATCGAGCAGTCTTTTGGGTTGATCTTGCTAGGATTACTATGAAAGTGTAGATTTTCCATGGAAAATCACATTTTCTCAAAAATTGGATTTCCCATGGGAAAAATAGGCTTGCTGGGCAGCTTTCCAAATCTTTAACTGTGCACCTCCAAAAGCAGCAGCAGCTTGGAGGAGAAAGGAAAGCCGAACCCACATGCTTAGTGAAAGGCACAGCAGTGTCTTCCACTACATGCTGCACTCTGTCATTAACAGCCATACTCCTGGGTGGTCACGGTGACTCTGCAGAGCACCGGCAGTGGCCAGGCGCAGACGAGACTTCACTCATGAATGGCAACGCTGGCCAGAAGAACCAAATCAGGGAGATGAGGCCTCTTCTGACTTTGTCCTGGCCAGCAGGGAACATGCAATGTTGTTTCCATTTGCCCATGGCCGAGATGATTGTGTCTGTCCCCATTGGTACGTGCCTTTCACAGTGGGAGATCTAATAGCTAGACTTCTGTACAATTAAGGGTTATGCTCCTATAATTCTTTTCAATATCTACACATGACACAAAACATTCAGCTGAAATCCAGATATCCTCCTGTTGTTGGTCACTGGTGAAATTTCTTCTTTAACATTCACAGCACGAGGAGCTATACTGGAGGATAGGAGATGTAAGAATAGGTTTTGCTGCTAAAGGAAGAAGCCATCAACTTGTGCATTCAATGTTGACAGAAACTTTCACAAGGTTGAATCCTTAGATATGTTTTTGCTCCTTTTGTGGAGTTTTAACAGCATATATCTATTTTATACATAGGGAAAATTAATTTTAGAGATGTTTGGGGTTTTTTTCTCCATACACTGTGTTTAAAAATAACACTGCATCTCAGTTTTGAATATGCATTGTGAACTACGATACTACTGTGCTAACAAATATTGAGTGTGCTCTGGGTGGAGCGAATCAAATTCAGGATCAGCACTAAAAAGCCAGAAAGGCCAATATAACAAAGAAATTAAAAATTCCTATGGGGTGAATGAACGAGCCACCAATTAAATTTAGGGTGCCGAAGATCTCACAAACTAACTGGATGTGAGCCCTGCGGTATCCATTCCCTCATGATCCATGGAAAAGAGAATAGGAAAAGAGATATGGAAGAAAGAGAGGGGAGAACAGAGCCACTGCTGAATTGTTATACAGTTCTGGCCCAAATCCAATAGCCTGAATCCTTTGTTAAGAGAAAATATCAAGGCACAGTTTTGCCTGCTTACATAACCAACACCTTACATTACAGTTCCAAACTAAGTTACGGGATTTACAGCCACCTGTAGGACTTCTGAAATTTTTCACTTCAATTTTGTCTAGGAATTGCTAGAATTTCACTATGAGAAGCTGCATAGTGGCCAGATGCTTTGAATGCAGCAGAATTTCTACATTATTTATTTCAAAATTCCCAATACTGGGAGGAGAAGGAAGGGAAAAACAGATTAATCTGGAACAGTTTAAGAAATTTTGATTGAAAAATAAAAATCTTTCCTTTTCCCTTGTATTCTCTTGTTGGCATAAAAGCATAAAGGCTTTTAAAATGCTCAAAATGAAAAAGTGAAACAGACAAAAATTTTCAAGCCAGATGCTTTCCACATTATCAGAATATCTTATACTGTTTATCCTATCAAATATTTTTGTGAAATCACTGTGATTTCACAGAGTGTTCCTGTTTAGATGGAACTATGCATTCTCTGGTGGAAAATGGTTCTAACAAAGTTTTCCAGTCCTCTCTGCAGAGACTGCAAGGTTATTACACTTTTACAAGTTGCACACCATGGAAGCTTTACCACGCAAAGGAGAGAAGCAGCACTGAAGACTGTTCATTGTGCAACCGTAACTCTGCTTTCCACGTATCAAGCCTCTGTGCATGTCTGCTTGAGTCCAACAGTGGCTGTAGTGGTTGCAGTTGTGGGCTGAGTATTGGACAGGATGACACCAAAAGTCAAACCAAACAGCCCCATGTAAAATCTGTTTACAAGATTATTGCCTTAGTTCAGCTATACTACCATTAGATTTATACAGAGCTGGTCATATAACCAAAGGCCATATCTCTGATTGATAACTGGGGAAAAAAAACAAAAAACAAAAAAACCCCATCAACTTACTTCCACAAGCAAAATGCCAACAGGATGTTATTCTTGAAATAGACTTTATTTTCATCATCTGATCATCAGATGCTCCTCCTCCACTTTTGCAATTTGTAGACAGTAGTACTGTGCACTAAACTGAATCTATAATCAGTGAAGCAAACAACTAATTTTTCAGACACTAAGGTTATTGTTTCTGAGCCTATGATTTCCAGATAAAATATTCATATCACAATCATACATTTTACTTTCATATTCTTAACATTTGTGAATAACATTTATTTGACAGGTTTTTTTACCTCCTTTGCATGAGATGTGTTCATAAAATCAAGGTTAATAACATAGCTAAGATGTCAAAAAAAGTTACAATTTCATCTATATTTGTCCATATGGGATGATGTATGTATTATAAATAAAACATACTTTTGTGAACCTGAACTGAATGTAAACATTAAGTGGATCAAATAAAGTAAAGCAAAAGATTTAGTCTTTTATTTTCATATAGTACAACAACTTAGGATTTCAAATGTAAGTATCATAGGAAAAAAACTATTATTCATTTTTCCTTCTGCCCTTCAAGTGTATTTGATCAAGTACCATGTGCAGTTAGACAGTAAATTATTATGTCTGCTATTAATCAGGGCAATATTTGTGGTTGTTGTTAAAGAAAAAAAGTATATTTTTGTCTGTGTCAGAAATGTTATATTAAGACTATACCTAATGAAGCAGATAGGAAGCATAATATAGATATATATGTTTTAACTTCATTTGTATTGTATTCTATAGTGCCCATGAAATTCAGGAAAATACTGTCTGGTTTTGGTTCTGTTTTGTCCATCTATTAAAAATAAAGACGTTTATTTTATTATCACTCAAGCATCACGTGATGTTTTGTGTCATGGGCATAGCCCTGCAGAGGCGAGATGGCCCCAGCAGAGCAGGAGCTGACCCTTGCCCAGGGGATCAGTGGGGCCACCCCATGGCTACAGACCTGCCCCAGAAACAAAGCTCTCACTTCAGTCATCTCTTATTTGTCCTTACAGCCACAAAGAAGAGCAGAAGCCCCTGAGCTCCAAGGAGATCTACATCCAGTATGCAGAGTCTTTGCCAGGGACCTTTCTCTTGTGGGTGTTGTACTGGGATGATGGGACTGAACAGGGGATGTACTTTGGACTGTAGAGTTGTCAAGAAGCAGAAAATGTGCTACAGGAGCAGGAATGCGCATGCCTAGAGACTGCAGCTGGGTTCCACCTTTCATGCGTGAGGACTGGAGCAAGGGTTTGGTAATTTTTCACATAGTGGAAGAGCCCTTTGTAGTGGGACATGAAGTCATTCTGGGCATTGCATGTGTGTTAAAAATACAACTATTCAGAAATCAAAATTTTAGATGACTGAAAACTAAATCTGTGCTTTTATTCTCCTGGTAAGAGTTTGATCTAAAGTGCACTGAAGTCAAAGGAAAGATATAAATGGGTGTCTATCCAAGTTCTACTATAATGACATATGCCTAATATACAGTGTATTTATTCCCCGGATGCTTTGAAAAATACTGTCCACTCATGGATGGGGAAAAATAAGGAACACTGACTTGTTTTCCCAGGCACTGAGGGGCTCACTCATGGGGTGAAGCACAGGCCAGGATTTTCAAGCAATGTCAAATTGTGTAGACATTTCCTTGAGGCTGTAACGTTCTGGTCTCTCTTGCAATTTGGGAGTTTGATCCCCATCTGTACCTTTGAAAAACTAAAGCATGTTTTAAGATGAGAGCCCTGATATCTTGTAGCTTGTATTTCAGAATGAAAGCAAGTCCATAATCCTGCAGATTTAAAAAGTCAAGAAAAAGCAGAAGATAAAGGTGTGCTGATGACTGTTCATGTGAAAGCATTAATGAACTGTTTTGCCACATGACATCATAAGTAAAATGCCATATGCAGGACAGATGTGGCCAAAACCATAGCAAAACCCTACTTAGGAGACTATTTAGGAATCACTTGAAACTCTTGTTGGGTTTTTGGGTTTTTTTTTTTAACAATAGCTTATTTCTGGTAAAGAATAATTTAGAGCAATTTTTTCCATATTTTTCTGTCAAATTCACAAAAGGGACAGTGGGTATAAAAACAAACAGTGGAGAATTAAATGGGTAGAGAAAGAAGTTAAGGTCTTTGATGTAAGCATTTTTAATCAATATTGAATTTTGAACAAATCACTTTCCACCACAGCCACAGAAGGACTGATGGCAGGTGAATACCAAGCAATTACATGAAATGTATTAAGCCTCCCTCTCTTTAAATTACATTTAGTTGCCTAACACAGTTTAAAATCCACAAAAAGGACTTAAAAGACCACAAATACTGAGTAGTTTTCCACTTGAAAAGAGTGAACCTGGGAAGACCCAAATGCTATGACATCTCCCCAGCTGCAACAGTATCAGACTGCCCCAGAAAGATTGGAGAACAATTACAACCAGGCTTGGGAGACACTTCAAGAAGCTTTAAAGAAGCCAATTTTAATACAGGAAAGAATGCCCAGAATTGCTCCCAGGCCATTAGGGTGGTCTCCAGCCTGCTTTTGGCTTGAGTCAAATGTCACTCTTCCAAACAGGCACCCAGCTTGGGGGCTGGACTGCTCCAAGGGCTGCAGAGGGCCTTTCCCAAGAGGAGTTCTGCAAGCAGCCTCCCCTTTGCAAGGCTGACAGACATTACAAGTGTAATCTCCCACCAGATGTGTTCAGTGCCCAGAAACATGCCTGAGCATCTTCAATTTAGTGGTGAGGATACAGCCTCAAAGATAAACAAAGAAGTTCTTCACTCCTGACCTGGCCTTTTGGTTTGCCTTTGGGATCCAAGGAGAAAAACTGACACTTAGCAAACATGACTAATCTCACCTAACGCACACATTACTGTGAGATGGGTCACACCATAGAAATGCCCATACAGATGTTTAAAAATCAGCAAGATGTGGCTCACTTCTTTCTCTTTCTGCTTGAGAAGAAGATTGAAGCCATGAACATGATCCCACCAAACAGATAGCTGGCAAATTCATCCTAGGAGGCATCCTAGGAGGGGGAATTTGGGAAGCATTCACAAAAAAGCATAGTTCTCAGGGAAAAGTTTGCACCTGGCTGTCTGGAGCACTGACCTTCTGCAACCAAGACTACAAAGACAGACAAAGGAAAACATCAGTCTAGGTTGCAAGGGATGTGTTGTGACTGGGGGAGACATATGCTATCTCCATAAATGTTAATAAGTAACAGGTGAAAAACAGTGCAAATGAGGCAGTAGTCAGGAATAAGGCTATGCTAGAGAATAAGGTAGTGGTGGGAAAAAAAAAAAAAAAAGTAGTTCTTCAGATGAAAGAATTGGTCAGTTTGGCTATATTTAACTGATTTAGGAAACGTTGTGAGGTCAGAAGTAAACAATGAGGCTGTTTGTGGACTAATGCAGGAAACCTGAGTAATAAGGTGGAAGAACTAGTACTACCAAAGCAAGATGTGAAAAACTCTAGTACAGAATAGGGGAAAGATGATAGAATAGTTCTCAAGATGAAAAAGGATTTGAAAAGAGCATTTGATGAGGTTATATATTGGGTTATACAGGCCAAAATAATTTAACTTGAATGTGGAATGACACACTTTTCATATTACGACCATTGAATAAATTGAAATCTGGTAAAGACTGGGAAAAAAGGCTGTTGTATTAGCAGAAAACAAGTAGTTTAGTCTTATGGGTAATAGATTACTTTCTCAGTCAATGTGCAGACAAGAAAGGGTGCTATTTCAACTTTGAACTTGGTGTGTAATACAGCATTAGAAAGTATCTAGTGATAGAAAATAATCTTGTATTGAAAACTAAGAGTGATTAGACAATTTTCATATACAAAAAGCATCAAGAGGAGATATTTGAGCTGAAAAATAATTCAAAGACCAATGAGTATACAATACCATAGAAGAGATTTGGAAAAAGAATTAGAGGCAAATTCCTCATCACACGACTGAATTTCTGAAATAGTTGAAATATTGTAGACAAAAAGCAGAAGTAGGCTAAAATAGATCCTGTGAATGAAACAGCAATGATGGTCAGGCCCTGGGTGTGTCAGACTCCTACATCCCCTGTTGCTCCTGATCCTAATACACATCATCCTAGGAGTCTAAGCACACTTGAAGTAATTTTAAGTTACATCCTTCAATGTAAAATGGCAGTAATAAATCAATTCTTGTTAATTCTTCCAACTAAGAGTTTTCCATGGTTATGACTGAAGCTCTAAAATTCATTTACTTATTTGGAAATGGACAAGGCCATTTTTTTGCTGAGCTACTCTTGTATTTCACTTCAAGGAAAAGGAATTAAATATATCCTGCCAATTCACTAATGGAATATAATTATCTGCTTATTAATAACGGAGATTAGAGTGCTGCACTGCACTTTGTGTTACTCAGCAGTTCACATCCATCAAAGCATTGGACACAATTTTCAAAAGGACTTAAAGGGAACGATGATCCCAAAAATGATGGGTCACTGGGAGCATGCCATTCAAGGATTGGGGCAGCTCTAGTTATCTGGCTTCTCATGATTTCAACATAACTGGGTAAGACACAGATTATCTTTTATTGATGATATTTTGATGACAGAGATACCCACTTTATATTAACTATGCCAATAACCAATGCAGAGACATGACTGTGAAAGGCTTGTCTTCCTTTGAGGTTGGGCAGGAGCATGGTCATGGTGAAAGGAGTTAAAAGATGCCTGCTGACCACCAGCCTCTAGGTCTTGCCCCTGTCTCTCCCTTCTTTGGTGCTTGTGTTGTTCTGGTCTATAGTCAAGCATAGTGATTAAGTCTGCCCCCAGCACCACAGTGGGTTGTCTGGGTATGAACCTGCATATAGCCTACATACCAACAGTCAGTCAATAATGGGAGAGAGCCATCTTTAAAAGATCATATCATCCCACAGAATCACAAAAAAAGCAGTGAAGTTCTGCT